ATACAAGCAGTCATACACCAGCACAATATACAAACACACCCCTGAATTCAAACTCCAAAAGGATATACAAACACACCCCTTCACTCAAACACAAATACTTCACACAAACGTACCATTACATTCAATCATACCCCTGCAATCAAACACAAACATTACATACAAACAAACCCCTATATTAAAACACAAACTACATACAAACACCTCTTCAAACACCAACACTGTATATTACACTATAGCGCCAACAAATGCCGCAGCGTTGTACAGATATACAACCTAGAAATTTTGACTTGGGGTGCCTTGGAAAAATATTTAAATATTAAGGGCACCTTGAACCTAAAAGGTTTGGGAACTACTGGTATATATAGAAAATAAATTAAAAAATGTAAAAATAATTTTAAAAAATAAAAGAAATTTTGGAAATTTTTAGTCCAGACACCCTAAAACCTGTACATGGGGGGTACTGTTTTACTCGGTAGACTTTGCTGAACACAAATATTAGTGTTTCAAAACAGTAAAACATATCACAGCGATGATATTGCCAGTGAAAGTGACTTTTTTTTTTTCACACACAAGCGGCACTTTCACTGATGATATCATTGTTGTGATACGTTTTACTGTTTCAAAACACTAATATTTGTGTTCAGCAAAGTCTCCCAAGTATAACATTACCCCCTATGTACAGGTTTTATAGTTTTTTTTTAAAGTTACAGGGTCAAATATAAGGCTTGATTTTCCTTTTTTTCACATTGAAATTTGCCAGATTGGTTATGTTGCCTTTGAGAGCGTATGGTAGCCCAGGAATGAGAATTACCCCTATGATGGCATACAATTTGCAAAAGAATACAACCCCAGGTTTTGCAAATGGGGTATGTTCAGTCTTTTTTAGTAACCACATAGTCACAAACACTGGCCAAAGGCAGCGTTCATAATTGCTTTTTGCATTTCTAACACACAAACAAATATAAATGCTAACTTTGGCAAGTGTTTGTGACTAAGTGGCTACTAAAAACACTGGACATACCACATATTGAACACCCTGGGTTGTCTACTTAAATAAATATGTACATGTAAGGTGTGGTTTGGTGATTTATGACAGATAACAGTGTTACAATGTCACTATTGATACATTTAAAAAATATATATTTTGAAACAGCAATGTCCTACTTTTACTTAAATCCCATAACTTACAAAAAAAAAAGCTAAGAACATGTTAACATTGGGGTATGTCCAGTCTTTTTAACATTAACATTTCTGAATTTAGGACAAAATTTTAAAACTATTTAGCACTGGTGTTTTTTTGTGGTTATAGATGCAAAACAGATTCTGGGGTCAAAGGTAGAAAAAGTGTATTTTTAAAAACATTTTCATCATATTTTATAATTTTTTTTATAGTAAATTAAATCATTGTGGAAAGTTCTTTTTCATAAATGGCTTACCTTTAATCTAACAGAAGGGCTGTGATGTGGAATAATCAATATCATAGCTTGTCCTTCTTTAGCAGTACACAGAGTCCTTAGATGCATGAAAAAAAATAAAAATAAGCCACATATATAACATTTAGGATTAATGACTGATGCTTATTAAAAATGCATGCTTGATGACTTTATTTTATCTTATATAAATCTGTGAAAACCAAAGAGAAATTAAACACTGAGCAACAAAGGAAACTGCATATTGGCTATGGTAAGGTGAATGAACATCATCAGAAATGTGCAAAGATCTAAACATGCTCATTTTGCCTAAAATGGTTTTTGTATAGGAACCAGATACGTTACCAGAGAAGTGATATATATGGGAACAATTTGTTTAAAGCCTAAGGTGCTCAGACCAGCTAATTGTAGTGAACTGAAAAACAAATTTGCTCAATCTTTACCAAAATAGTCATTCATAATAGAGATTATTGAATTTTTTTAACTCGTGTTTTCAAATTGCTTATTTAGTGAAAAACTCCTAAGTATTCACCCAGTTCCATTTTTGTAGGATATTTTAATGATTCTAATGCAATATTATGCATTTACAGTTAATTCCCTTTAAATTCTGGACAGTCGAAACATGTAAACAACATATTTTATTTCATTTTGGCAGAAAAAAGAGTGCATATTTGATGTTAACAGAATTCCTTGGCTGAACATGATCGACGTAACCAAGAGAAGATGCTCTGACAGGATGTGAAGATTTGAATTACATTCTGAAAGAATAAAAACTGCTATAAAACACTCCTTTTAAAGGCTTGTCAAATTAAACTTGACACAATATAAAACAAAATAAAATACACAATTTGAAACTTTAATTAATAAATACTTAATGAAAGATGGTACTTACATTTGATACGTTGAAAGTTGCACAGTAATAGGAAGAGTGGTTATAGTTATTTTTAGTTTTTGGACGCATGTTTATACTTGCACTGGATGATTGTACAAAAATCACAACGATTAGATCAAACAAGAAAAAGAGATCATTAATAAATTAAATGACCTTTTTTTTTTCGTTTCTCTAATTTATTTTGTGTCTGGTTTACTGTGCGTGTGTATTCCAAGTGTAATGCTACACATGGACTGATGTGAATATTGGACACTAGATGGCAATAGCATCACACTTTTAGGAAGCGATAGGACATAATAAATGACAAAACAGATACTAACTTCATGTGTGGTCACATTTGTATATAGAGAGACAGACATACAGACAGTGAAGAACACATTTTGTCAGTGTCAAACTTTATTTAGCAGTGTCCAGAACATACCTGTCCTTCTCACCACCTCTAAATTCAGCTGCCAACTGTCTTCCTCAATAGCTCACTATGCCTTCCACAATGTCTTCCCAGCTGCTTCTGATCCTTAACAGCCTCCAAAAACAACACTTACATGATGAGTCCTTTGTTATTACTTTATTGCATTAGTAATGGGCCATGTTTGAAAGGCACACCGATGTCTTTATAATGCCTTATTTATAATAGCTTTCTAAACATATTTAAAGTTCAATTGGTATAATATGACAAAACATTTCTCGTTGCCCCAGTAATAACATTTCATCAACGCTATTATGATTTGGTAAAAAAAATAAAAATAAATTAATAAATAATATATCTTTATTTATTAGTTACAAAGATTCTATCAATAACCTTTTCATTTCAAGGTACATGTTTTAATAAATTTTAACCAAAATCTAACAGGAATAAATGCCCACTAGTTAACTGATATTGCATAATCTGAGCCTTAAATGAACACTCATTAGAAAAACTTCTCCCTCAAACTCTCTCACACTACTAGCACTCACATAGACCTTTCTGTCCCCCTCTGATACCGCTACTCCTGCCTCTTTATGTGTCGATGGGCTGCAATTCTCCCACATTCCCAGACTCAACTGTAAACCGGTGTAGGCTTCCTTCTTTCACTGCACCTTTCAAACAATCCCCCTGCCCTATTTTTTTCCCTACCTTTGAAGTTCACAATGTCCACCTATGTAAACCCACTCCTTTAAGAATTGCCATCATCATCTAACTGGATGGCTACCCACTTCCTTCAACTCAATCTATCCAAAACAGAACTTCTGGTCTTTCCTCCCTCAAGTGTTGCCAGTCCTGTTTCTATTTTCCAAGTTAATGGCACTACCTCCATCTTCACCTCGCAGGCTCGCTGTTCTCTTTGACTACAACCTCTCTTTCACCCCTCATGTTTCCTCATGTCCTGCAAATCACCATTCCTCTGCTTCCATCTCAAAAACATTGCCCGCATCCGTCCCAACATTGATAAGGTGCTGGTCCATGTCACTATACTCTCTCACCTTGACTACTGCAATCCACTTCTCCCAACTTGCAGTTACAGTCTATAATGAATGCGGCGGCGAGGCTCATCTTCCTGTCCACCCACACCTCCCACGACTTACCCCTCTGTTAGTCCCTGCAATGGCTTCCCGTAAGAAATAGGACTCAATTTAAAATTCTGGTTCTTGTCTACAAATCTCTACATAATACTGCTCCAACCTATCTATCATCTCTAATCACAAGTCTAGGCCCCTAAGCTCTGCCGAAGAACTACGTCTATGTTCTGTTCGTACTCTCACCTCTGATGCTCGCCTTCAAGACTTCTCTGGGGCTGCACCGTTTCTGTGGAACTCCCTTACTTTCTCCGTTAGATGCTCACCCAGCCGACACTCCTTCAAAAAATCATGAAAAACTCACTTCTTCAGGAAAGCATATCAATTAAACTTTAATTAGCTCCCCTCTCCCACACACCCTGATTCGTCTCCTGCAACAGTCAATAAAAAAAACAAAAAGAAAACAACACACAAAGTCTCCAGTGAATACATTTCTACCAATCTACTTTTGTACCCTTACCTTTTGTGTCACTTTACCCCACTCCCTCTAGCATGTAAACTCATTGAGCAGGGCCCTCAACCCCTCTGTTCCTGTGCGTCAAATGCGTATGGTTATAATGACATGTTTGTTAGTCCACCCATTGTACAGCGCTGCAGAATTTGTTGGTGCTATATAAATAATAATAATCTGATGTATTTATACTGCCTACAGCAGCTTCCTACTCCTTAATGACTCCAAACAACTTTATTTTAATAATTAGTAGAGTGACTTCCAGACAAGTTTCCAAGTCCCCTGGGTAGAACAGCCAGGACAGTTCCTTTTAGCTTTCATACCCAAGCATACATGCACAGTGCTGTCACAGTCAGTCATAGAGAATCATTGTATGAAATAATTCTCTCTGGCAGAATCATAGGTGGATTGTGGCGAGATTGTGGCGGACCCTAATGCGTCACTATGAGGTGCATTGGATTGGACTGTTATCCTGAAGATACGCTTCCAGGATGACAGACGATGAGGAGGCTACGGCAGCCTCGAGTGAGTGTTGGTATTGGTGATCAGGATATTTTTTTTATTAAATGGGCAGAGGTTGGGTCCTTAAACTAACTAGGCACATTAAGACAATAGGGTTTGCAAAACAGATATGTATTCCATATGCTACAGTGTCCTTTTACGTTCATACATCGGAATACAATCCTGAGTAAAACTGATGAAGGATCACAATTTAAGTCTCTAAAATACTTTAGTTTCTACAAATTGATCATAACCATAAAAATACAGTTATTTGTTAAAGTGCTTTGTGCAAATAAGGCACTTACATAGAAGTGAACAAATTTGTTGAAATAATAGCTGCTACACTCACATGATGTGAGTTTCTCCCTAACATCAAATAAAATCATGCAATTTACAAAGTAAACTGAGTGGTTATATATTGCCCCAGTGTATACAGTATTTTTTACTGAGTTCTGCTTTTTTATTTTTATTTTTTTCTGTGTGAATCGCTTTTGTTTTTTTTTATTATTTCACATAATTAATGCTCGTGCCTCCATCGGTGTTTAACTATATGCCTGCTTCTTGCTAGTGCTGCCTGCAGGCAAATAGTTAAGATTCTTTTAAAATCAGGGCCTAATTTTGATGCATCTGGGTCAAGATTTCAGCTGTTTGTCTGTGTTCCACCCAGTTGAATTCCAGAGCAAATTCAGGTCCATGCTTCAAAAGGGCTCAGTTGCATTTTTTGACTGCATACATACAATACTGCCTTGATTAGTACTTTAGACATCTTATATTTGGATGTTACTGTGTCAGGCCTCCCAACAGTCCCACTTTGTTAGGTCTGTCTTGATTTTGGAGCCCTGTCCCACCATCCTGCTTCAGTTCCCTGGTGTACTGCATTTGGTGACATGGCAGCACAAGACGAGTACATCATTTAATCATTAGGGAGCAATTCAGTAGCACTCCCTACATCGACCCTGATAGCTGCAGGCCGTCAGCTACCTGTCAGCGGGCAGGCGAAGCCCCGTGATGCCCCTGCCCACCTGTCCTGATGTGCAGCAATCAAATGCTGGTGGGTATGTTACGTTTAAATTTAGTTTGGCTCTTGTGGTATCCAGAAAATCGAAAAGCCAAAAGCGCTCTCTGCTTCAAGGTGTTGCAAGTACAATGAAGTGTAAATAAAGTTCTTTAGTAGCAGCTACCACACATATATAGGGACTCTCAGCCCTAACATAATACAATGGTTAAAGGTAGAAACTATGAGATGAAAGGTTCACCACTAGTTGCAAACATGGAGCGCTAATACCAATATGCGCTGACCCCCTAAACCAGCAATGCAATGCTATAAAGAATATCCAAAAAATATCTACTTATCTGGTCTAGGCAACATGAGATAGCTATGACCAGGGCGACCAGACATCCCAGTTTTAACGGGATCGTCCCAGTTTTGAGTCAAGTGCCCCAGCATCCAGAGAAAGTTTCTCAGGATGCATACATTTCCCTTTTTTTTTTTTATTAATAGAGGCCCAAACTTAACCAGAGAGCTGCTGACTTCTAAAATGCCGGTTCTATCAAAATGGATGCGGCAGACTGCAGACCCCTCTGCTCCTAAAATGGAGGGGCTCCCTGCTGCATCCTCTCCACCTGCCGCTGTGCTGTTAGAAATGGGCCAATCCGTGTCTTGATGTTACGCAGTGTCACGGGTTCATGAGTCTATTGCTGTTTTTTCCTTCAATCCTCCACTAGTCCTAATTCCAGGTGTGCTGAATATAGTAAAGTATTCCATTTGTGCATAGTTTCCCCAAAATAATGAACCAGTCTTATTGGGTAAAAGCAGTAATCTGAACTTTATTAGGCCACACTCGGCTTTTTATGCAGTGCCCCGAGCATGGGGTTTCTAATACAACATCACAGGAGTTTCCTTCCCACAAGCCATTGTGTTTGAGAGAGGATTGAGCTCCAATTAAGCTAATCAAATTATCTCTCAAATTGGAAAACTTACATACAATTTTTACATATCACAAAAATACATGGCAACAGCATCGGAACCCCACCAATTATATTCCCGAATAGCCCTGATCTGAGCGCACAACATATCCAAAAAGCGCTCAGATCGGTTCGGTAAAACGAAATTTATGTTTGGGCATATATGAACTGGATGCCTGGTAGAGGTGTTATTGTCAACTTCAAAAAAGGTTAGTTTGATTGTATGGGAGGTCAGAGCTTACAACCTAAATTCCTCTTTGAAGCTGGGACCCCATCAGAGCTACTCTGTAAGGTGTGTGAAGTCACAAATAAGTGGCCTGGAAGTCTAGGACATAATTGGGTCAAGACATCATAACTTAATTTCCTACTGGACACCAAGACACATAGTACAATAGCTTTTACATAATACAATTAACACAATAGCTTTCATCCAGCTCAACATTTTACATAATAACTCAATATTAACACAATGTACCCCCATATCCTATGTATCATTTTAAAGTCTGTGACCAGGCCCACAGTCTGTGGACAGGAGGCTAGTTGTTATGCCTCTCCAGCAGGCTGTGGGTGGCACTGGAGCTTCCATGACTTGCGGATTGTGCCAATTGCCAGACAATTTGTCAACCACGCTGCACGTTGATGTCACGCCGTATCATCATCCCCTCTCTTCAGTCCCCCGCCTGCGTTGCATAGAAGAAGAGAAAGGAGCTGAAAGCAAAAGCAGAATGGAGAGAAAGGTAAAGGAGCATAATAGACAGAAAGGGAAAGGAGAGAAATTAAAGGAGCAAAATGGAGTGAAAAGTAAAGGCGCAAAAAGGAGAGAAAAGTAAAGGAGCAGAATGGAGAGAAATGGTAAAATAGAGAAAGGTATAGGAGAGAAAATTAAAGGAGCAAAAGGGAGAGAGAGAAAAAGGAACAAACAAAGGAGAGAAAAGTAAAGGATTAGAATGGAGAGAAATGGTAAAGGAGAGAAAGGTAAAATATCAAAAAGTAGAGTAAGGTAAAGGAGCAAAAAGGGAGAGAAAAGTAAAGGAGCAGAATGTAGAGAAAGGTAAAAGAGCAAAATAGAGAGAAAAATGAAAGAGCAAAAAGGAGATAAAGGTAAAGGAGCAGAATGGAGAGAAAAGTAAAGGAACAGAAAGGAGAAAAAAGTAAAGGAGCAGAAGAGAGTAGTACATAGAAGAAAGGAGAGAAAGGTAAAGAAGCAAAAAAGAGAGAAAAATAAAGGAGAAGAAGGGAGCGAGAGGAACAGAAGGGAGCCAAGGAGGAGTGGAGACGGTGTCAGAAGAAAGAGAAGGCAGTGTCACAAGGAGACTGGATCAGGAAGGACAACCTTGAACACAAGTGAAGTGAATCCTCCATTTTGTCCTGGACACCAAATCTTGAGGCTTTAGAACATGAGCCTGGCAGGGAGAGTTTGGACCCTCTAATTTCCCCAGGTAGAAAAACAAAAAACAATGTTAACGTATTCACTTTTTTTTTTTTTTTAATATTTGAGATGTAGACATATTGGCCATTTTTAAAGGAACACTCTGTTCACCATAACAACTTCATTTAACTTAGGTTGCTATAGTGCCAGTAGGCCCCTGGGTGCTCAATTGTCTTAAGGGGTGAAAACGTTCTTGAACACCCTCCTTTGCTGGATCTTCAGGTTCATCAGCTGGATCCGGCTTCTGAAACTGAGTTGAGAGTGCAGCCGGGTAGGAGCACCGCTGATTGGCTAAAACGGCCACCTGGTACTCTTACCCAATCAGTAGCTCCAAATTAATAGAAAAGTAAAACATTTTAACGAATGGCTTTATGGATTGATCTAGAGCATCATGTATTCCTTACACTATAGTAGTAAAAATGCTGTTTAGGTATACTGCCCCCGTTTAAAAGGTTTTTTTACTTACTTTATTTCCACCGCCATGCTGGCCTCACCCTGCTTAGCCTCCTTGGCTAATGGGTGTCTTTTATTTCCAAATTCTGGCCACCCTGGCTATGACCTAGCATTATATGAATGACACGGGGAAAAGTTTACTTGCAATCTTGTTTGGATTAAGTACCCCATTGCAGTCACTTTCAGCTTTAACTTGCCACATATAAGTAAAAATATTTTTTTGCCTGCACATTTGATTAGAGCTTTGTGCTTTCTTAAACTGTTTTTGGTTAACAAACAATAAGCTACTTCCTACGTCTAGTATTATCTGTATTGTTTACAGATAATTTCTTTCCACCTAGCCCTGAGTTGGACATAAACTTGTCCTGGTTACTCCCAAACCTCAGTATGTCCCTACCAGTCTTTGATGGCTGCAGTTTCCTCATTTCCCCTTGATACTGCTCAGTGGTCACAATGTGAGGGCACTATAGAGGATCATGCTGCTTTCTGCGTGGACCTCTGCTAATTTAGATCCAGCTAAGTGTTAAGCTTTCTGAATGAATCAGCACTGTTAGAAAAACTTCCAAATGATTTGTCTACACAACTTCCTATTGTCTTCAATGGTGACATATGTAGACAAATCATTAGAAGTGTTTTTCCCAACAGTATTGAATTATTCGGAAAGGCTGTTAAACTGAGGCCGTAGTTCCAGCACAAGTGTCTTTGACTCCTGTGCGTGTGGTTGCTTGAAGACTAAGGAAGTGGAAACAGAAGCCACCTTCTTAAATGACATATAAGGCTGGAGACATCTCCTGATCCTCTGGTGTCCCCCTAGGCTTGCATGTATTCAATGTTGATGATATATTCGAGTATCCCAGTCACAGAATAAGAGACTATAAGTTAATAATGGACTTGTGCAGGGAGAAAAACCTTTGTTTTTTTCAATACGCTTTTACTATTGTTGGATAATCCTTCCAAATAATTTAATGGTTTTTGAAAGACTTTTAAGATATTGAATATTATGTAAAATATTTTCATTTTGTAATATTTTGTAATTAATTATGTGTTTTTTTATAAATTTTAATTTGTTGAAAAATGTATTTTAAAACTTTATCCAAAAATATAATATCATTTGGAACTCTTATCCAACAATATTCAATCAATACCTTTGTCAGATAAAAGAAAATCGGGTTGGCAGACTTTAGGTCATGTCAGTGTTTGGCTAGTCTGAATTTCGGTACCGAAAGAAATCTGGGAAGTTATTCAGAAACTCAAAAGAGCAGCACAAATGGGGACTATAACTGTGTTGGCAAGCAAAAATGGCTAAGCAATATCAGGCTTCCATTTTAAAAATAGTGATTTTCCAAAAGATGAAAGGAAAAAGTGAGTGGGCAGTGGATGACCCACTAATCTATTCCACCCATTGTTTTTTTTTAAAAAATTCCCTTTGTTTCATATAAAATGACTCCTGCTAATGCTAGGGCATTGTTAAGTTTTTCTGTTTTTTTTGTGTTTTTTTTTAACTAAAGGACGGTCACTGATGGTACAGACTATCTG